TTCTCTCTCTCTAAAAATAAAATTCATAAATGAAAGCATAAACATTATACCTGATACTGCAAATACAAATGATCATGAGAGACTACTATTAACAATGCTAGGCCAACGGATTGGATAATCTAGAAGAAATGGATCAATTCTTAGAAACATGCAACCTACTAAGACTGATTCATGAAGAAATAGACTACCTGAACTGACCTTTAAGGAGATTGGATCATTAATGAAGATTCCCGGTAAAGAAAATCCCAGAATGAGATGTCTTCACTGGTCTACCAAACAATAAAAAGAAAATTAATACCTATCCTTTTCAAATTCTTCCCCCAAATTGAAGAGGATGGAACACTTCCAAACTCCCCTTTATAAAGCCAACATTACCCTGATACCAAAGCTATGCAGGATACAATAAGAAAAGAAAATCACAGGCTATTATTCCTCACGCACATAACATGCAAAAATCCTCAACACAGTGCTAGCAAAATAATTCAACAGACATTAAAAGAATCAAACACCATGATCAAGTGGGATTGATCCCTGGGATGAAGGATGGTTTCCATATATGCAAATCAGTCAATGTGATATACCACCTTAGCAGAATGAAAGATAAAGATCACATGATTATCTCACTATAAAGATAAAAAGATAAATATAAAAAGCACTTGACAAAATTCAACATTTTTTTCATGATAAAAACCTCAACAAATTAGGTATAGAAGAAATATACCTCAACATAATAAAGGCAATATATGACAAGCTAACAGCTAACATGAGACCCATTCATGAAAATCTGAAAGCTTTTCTTCTAACATCATTAGGAAGACAAGGATGCCCACTCTTAGTACTTTTTAATTCAACATAATATTGGAAGTCCTAGCCGGAGCTAGGTAAGTAAAAGAAATAAAATTCATCCAAATCAGAAAAGAAGAAATAAAATTATCTGTGTGCAGATGACATGATTTTACATATAGAAAACTAAAATTCTTAGCAAAATACTATTAGAACTAATAATAATAACTAAAGTTATAGGATACAAAATCAACAAACAAAAACTTTTTTTTTTTTTTTTTAAAGATTTTACTGATTTAGAGAGAGAGAGCACAAGAAGGTGAAGGTCAGAGGGAGAAGCAGGGACTCGATCCCGGGACTCCAAAATCATGACCTGAACTGAACGCAGTTGCTCAACCAACTGAGCCACCCAGGCACCCAAACAAAAACCATTGTATTTCTGTGAATTAAGAACAATGAACTATTTGAGAGAGGAATTAAGAAAACGATTCCGTTTACAATAGGATCAAAAACAATAAAATTCTTAAAAATAAGTTTAACCAGGGAGGTGAAAGATCTGAAAACTCTGTCATTGGTAAAAATAGTTGAAGAAGACACACAAAAAATGGAAAGGTGTTGCATGTCTTGGATTAGAAAAATTGGTATTGTTAAATTGTCCATGCTGCTCAAAGCAGTCAGCACATTTAGTGCAATCCCTATCAAAATTCCAATGTCAGCTTTCAGTGAAATAGAATAAATAATACAAAATTCACACGGAACCACAAAACACCCAAGTAGCTGAAGCAATTTTAAACAAGAAAGACAAAGCTGGAAGCATCACATTTCCTGATTTAAAATTATATTACAAAGCTACTTTAATCAAAACAGTATGGTAGTGGCATAAAACATACACTTAGACCAAAGGAATATAGACATAAATCCACACATACACATTTAACTAATATTTGACAAGGCATCAAGAACATACCACAGAGAAAAGCTAGTTTTCTCAATAAAGGTGCTGGGAAAACTGGTTATATCCAAAAGAATAAAACTGGATCCCTATCTTATACCACTCAACAGAAACTAACTCAAAATGCACAAGAGCAGTGCCTGGGTGGCTCAAGTCCTTAAGCTTCTGCCTTTGGCTCAGGTCGCTTAGGCTCCCTGCTTGGCACGAAGTCTGCTTCTCTCTCTCCCACTCCCCCTGCTTATAGTCCCTCTTGTTCTCTCTGTCAAATAAATAAAATCTTAAAAAAAAAAAATGCTCAAAAGATTTAAATATACCACCTGGAACCGTAAGCCACACAGAGAAAGTATTGTGTGGTATCACTAGTATGTGGAATCTAAAAAAAGAAAATGAGCTCATAGAAACAGTGATTAGAACGGTGATTGCCAGAGTCTAGGGAATGGAGGGGATGTTGGTCTAAGGGTATAACTTTTAGTTATAAATAAAGTGAGTAAGTTCTGAGCATCGGATACGTAGTCAGATTGCTATGGTTAATGCTGTATCATGTACTTGAAATTTGCTTCAAGAGTAGATCTTAACCGTTCTCACCGCAGAAGAAAAAAGTAAGAGATGCATTAATTAATAATTAACTTGATTGTGGTAATCATTTTATGGTATATACATATATCAAATCATCACACTGTACACTTACCGTGTGTGTGTGTGAATATATATATGCACATATGTATATATGTGTAGCTTTCTCAGTGAAGCTTTGGGGAAAAGCCAAATGTATCAGCAGTGCCATAGTCTTAATTATTCTAACATTAAAGTAAGTCTTGAGATTTGGTCAGGAAAGTCATCCCACCATGTTAATTCATTGTTTTTTTCCTTCCTTCCTTTCACCAAAATGGCTTACTCTTTTTCCAAGAAGAGGTTTAAAAAAAAAAAAAAAACAACTTTATAGGGATTTTGATTGGAGTTTTCATTAAATTTATAGATTTACTGATGGGAGAATTGACATCCTTATCATTTGTAACTCCTTAATGTTTTTTCATACAGCTTAATTTTCTCCATAGTACTTTTGCACATCTTAGTAGTAGTTTTAAGTCTGGGTAATTTACTTTTTTTGTTAGTTTTAAAAGCTTCCATTTTTATGTTAAGTACTTTTAATATTTGTCGCTGGTATAAAAAAATGCAATTGATTGTTAATATTGATCTTGTATCTAGAGACTTTGCTACATTCTGTTATTCTGTAGTTTATCTACAGATTCTTTTGGGTTTTCTCAGTCATCAGTTGCATGTTATGATTTCACTTCTATCTCTGTACCTCCCTACACAGGACACCCTCCTTTAACTTCCTGCAGCGGCTAGGATGCTCTGTGCGTTGTTAACAGAAGTTACGATGGAGGGCAGCTTACTCTGTGTCATGCCTGCATGGTCCTACACCATCCAGTTTCCATTATTGTCAAACCTCATTTCCATCCAGTTCCTTTCTTCTTGGCTTACTCTGCTCTAGCCATATCTTTTTTTTTTTTTTTTTTTAAAGATATTATTTACGTATTTGAGAGAGAAGGCACAAGCAGGAAGAGAGACAGAGGGAAAAGCAGATTCCCTGCTGAGCTGGGAGCCCAGCTTGGGGCTAGATCCCAGGACCTGGAGATTATCTGAGCTGAAAGCAGATACTTAACTGTCTGAACCACCCAAGTGCCCCTGCTCTAGCCATACTTTACTTCTTGCTTGCTCCTGAATATACCCGGCACACTCCCACCTCAGGGCCTTTGCTTTTGTACTCCATGGGCTGGAAGGTGAGATGCCTGCTAGGCTCACTTCCTTTAAATTGTCGTTCTAATACCACCTTTTCCTTAGCTACCTTATCTTTGAAAACAAACAGCAGCTTTATTGCAGAATATTTTGCATATATAATTTGCCCCTGGCAGTTGTCCATTTCAGTAGTTTTTCGATTTGCCAAAGTGTACAACTTTTGTCATTAATCAGTTTTAGAACATTTTTATCACCCTAATAATTAACCTGTGCTCATTTACTGTTAATCTTTGTTCCTACCCTTACCCCAGGCAATCGCTGATCTCTTGACTCTGTAGATAGGCCTTTTACAGACATTTCACATAAATGGAATCATCCAGTATGCGATCTCTTGTTTCTTGCTTATTTCACTTAGCATAATGTTTTGGGGGTTCCTCAGCCCTATAGTATGAATAGTACTTCATTTCTTTTTTGGCTGAATAATATTTCATTGTATGGATGTACCACTTTTTGTCTATCCATTCATCAGCTCATGGGCATTAGGTAGTTTCTAATTTTTGGCTAGTTAGTATGAATAATACCAGGCACCCTATCTTAAAGAATAACCATTCTTCTACTGTCCTACAACATACTTCTTCCCTGCTACATTTTATGTCTTCTTGTTGTCACTATTCAGCATATCACTTTTTACTTATGTATCTTATTTATTGTTTATCTCCCTCTCTAGAATTTCTACTAAGCTCCACAAGGGCAGAGATTTTTGTCTCAAGCTGATCACTTTTATACATCAGGCCCTAGAACTAGCATGTAGTAGGCAATCAGTAAACATTTGCAGAATCATTGAAGAAATAAGTGAATGGATGGATTGGATGCTTATTGTACACCATATTAAAAATACTTTTTGATTAAAGTGGCTTGATGTTTCTGGGATTTACTGTTTTTTGTCCTTTTGGATTACCCAGCTTAGCTTTGTTTACATTTTACAGTATACTAACTTATGATCTATTTGATTATTTCCATGTTTCTTTTTTCTCTTGATCAAAGGTATATTTTAGATGATTACTTTTCTAGGACATTGTGTCTCTTAGCATTCATCATTTCTCTGTTTTAAGGCATATTTCTTTTAAGTCCATTGTCACTTTTCTCTTCCTCTTATAGTTGATCGTGTTCAGTGTTCCATGATATTGTCAGTCTATTTTTACACTTTAGATCTACTGTTTTTTGTAAATATCATTAAGCTTTAAATAGTTTGTTTCTTAGTTTCTCTATATTTCTCTATATTTGGATTCTCTATCTTAGGCAACAAACTGCTTAAATATTAGATTAGAAAGTACTTGGAGATAGGATGTTGCTGGAATTTCTTTTATATATTTCCATTTTACAGTGAAATGCTTCAAAATAAAAATACTGTTTTACCTACTTTCAGTTTGTGTGATTTGGTCTGAAATGTTTTTCTGTCTTGTATTTTCTCAGGTGGCATTTTTTTGTTCCTAAATCTTTCATCTGTCTTCTGTTTTTGGTGCAGATAAATACTGAGGAACATGTGGATGCAGCTGATCAGGAGGTTATCTTATGGGATCGTAAGATTCCTGAGGACATCCTGAAGGAAATAGCCACCCCTAAAGAGGTACCAGCAGAGAGTGTTACTGTCTGGATCGATCCACTTGATGCTACACAGGAATATACAGGTGACTCTACATTAAGATTGATTTCAGACTTTAGATTGCCATTATATATTGGAGAACCAGAACAAAGGCAGGTAATATATACTTGGTAGTAAATACATTACCAATCTTACACAACTTTTCCAGTTAGATTTTAAGGATTAATGCAGTGCAGTATGAAACCTTTGGACTGGATCAGTTATTCTCACCCTTTCTCCCCTGACCCCAAAACCAGTATGTTGTGGCATACTCCTGTTGGTGGTAGTGATTCACTGTATCACTGATCCTTCAGTGAAAGGACATTTTTAGCAGTCACAAAAAAAATGGTTCCTATTGGACACCTGTTTATTGAAGTGTTTGTTTATTGAGTTGTATATTGAGGTGTGAGTTCAGATATTTATTTATATAGCCAGAATACAATATTTACTTGTGATTTGGGCAATTTAGGTTTTATTGCATATACATCTATCTTTGGAATTCAGAATACTAGGCACCCAGGGGTAATTAAGTAGCAAAAGAGAGAATTACTCACCTCATCTCCATTTCCTTCCTTCCTTCCTTTCTTTCTTTCTTTCTTTCTTTCTTTCTTTCTTTCTTTCTTTCTTTCTTTCTTTCTTTCTTTCTTTCTT